TTTGTTTGCATTCGGGTCCGCGGGGCATCTTTAAATCCGAGCCGCACACAACAGTCAAGGTGGAGATGCTGTAACTTATACCATCCTCGCTTTCTTTAAGGGAAAACAGTACCTCTGCTGCTAATAACGTATGCTGAGCTTCATATCCTTGTTAAACACAAGTTGTGAGCGACGGGGATGTGTGTATTCCAACTCAGGACTTTTGATTATTATTTCATTGAGGAGTTTTATTTGTTCTGATAGAAGATGAAAACAGAAGACACAGCATGTCAGCTTTGGGAGATTATAAATTGTGTTGTCAGATTCAATCAAATAGCAGCAAAGCTTTTTCACGTCCTTGTGTCTATTTTCTTCTCCTCTACATGTGGCCCAGTGGCCTAATGGATAAGGCATCAGCCTCCGGAGCTGGGGATTGTGGGTTCAAGTCCCACCTGGGTCGTGCACAGCATCTCTCTTACTGTTCATTTCAAAATTATTACATAAGCAGACCTGCTAAATGAGCTCTCTGGTACCTCAGTAGGTGTTGTTGTTTGATACGTTAGTCGATTAAAGTGTCACAATATAAACTCCGAGAACTAAGACACCTCATTTATTTCCCAAACAGCTGAGTGGCCACAGAAACATCTGGGGCCAGTCATCGGAGTTTCCAGCCAAGAACCGTTGACCACAGCTTGTATTTTTCCAGTCATCAGACCTCAGGCTCAGCTGGCTATCACCTCTCCCTTGTTTCCCCGCTGATATAATACGTACCGCTGTGCCAGTTCAAAATAAAAGACACAAGCGTATTCCAGCCCTGTGACGCTTCCAACTTATTCCCTACTTTTTAGTCCAGCGTTATAAACATCCTAAAAGCAATCCATGGAGATTGGATCTGTCCATTGCTGGGGTTAATTACAAGCTCTGATGTCATGTTTTAGGATTTCTTTCTTACTTTGACTATTGATTCTTGATTTTTTTCCTGTAAAGTCATCAGGATGAATTAACAAAAGCATGAAATATTGTGAACTCCGGTGCAGAAGTCCCTCCAGTACATTCTGTTCTTTGGTTTTTGACTCACACAAACACATGGAAATCAGGAATTATAGCTCTGGAAAGGCTTTAGATTCCCAAACATGTATTCCATGTGGCTGATATTTCAACGTGGCGTGTTTGTTTATAGCTACTGTAAATATTGTAGTCAGTGTCTAATAAGCTTTGAGTATAGACAAGATATACATTATGGTGCTCTGTTAGTTGGAATGGAACCAGCTCCATCTGTCCTCCTAAATGTTTTCACAGGCAAAGCAAAACATAAGAGCAGCAAGATGGCCGATGGCCATAATTTAATCAACATCCCATGCCAAGTCTGCCGGCCTTTTTCTTCTGGCTCTCTCCTCTGCACAATTTTGTTAATCACTCTTCCACTTTAGGCTGCACTCATTTATATTCCTCTACTTTCCCAATCAGTAAACTAGTTGATTCCTCTTATGTATGGATGGATTGTCGAATTGTTTGAATATGTTGATTGATGAAGCTGCTGGCCTCCGTAACTCAATCAGAGTCTGTCTACGTCTTCTGTCTGGCACCCCCCTCCACCACCAGCGACCCGAAAATACCTCAACTTCCCCGAGTGGGGCACAGCTTATAATGCAGGCAAACGAGCGATCCCAGACACATATTTCAAGGCAACCGTCGTGTTTATAGAGGGTAAACATATACAAGAACCTTGTTTTGAGGACCTCTGGGACTATATGTGACATTGCCTGGGAGGCTGGGAAAGTCTTTTTTTGACACACAGCTGTAGCTCGCTGGCCTAGTTTTTTAGTAGATTTAGAATCGCAGATGAGAACTACTTTACAGAGTTTTATTCTTTCTGTACATCAGTGGCCTGATGAATAAGGCTGCTGATTTTGGGTTCACGTCCCGCCTAGGTTGTGTTCACGACATGTGATGTGCGTTTATCACGAACAACAAGTGCAAAAGGTCATCAGTGAATCATTGCCTGGTTCAACCTTTAATAACGCCCGCTTGCTTTCTGTGTAAATGTCGCCCCCTAATGGTGCCTCAAGGGAAGAGCTTCAAAAGTATTTAAACTTCAAGACACGGATGTAATATAATGTGGTGTCATTTGGGCTGAACAAAAGTATTCTTTTTAAATTTTTAATAAACACATCTGCTCTTTTACAGTCAGTCAAAACATTTTTTTTTTTTTAAAACATGCTCTATGAAAAGCTGTGAAGGTCATTTAGAAGCACTGAACATTATTGTATAGGTAACTGCCATGATGGATGGCTTTTGTGGCCCCCAGAGGCCAGTTTGAGCACTGTAGTTATGCTTCATAGAGCAGAACTGCCATTATGGTTTACAGCCTAATAAAAGACCAATTACACTGAAAATGGGAACTTCAAAAATATTGAAACATCCCCCGAGGATTAGGGCTCATTTCCAGAGTGAAAAAGATGAGCAAAAGAAGGAAAGGAGGAGAAGTTAATGAGACACAGAGTAGATAGATAGATAGATAGATAGATAGATAGATAGATAGATAGATAGATAGATAGATAGATAGATAGATAGATAGATAGATAGATAGATAGCATCCCCCAGAATTAATTCAAGCTCCTCAGAAAAAAAAAAAAAGGTTCTTTGTCCCATTTTTATTTTATTTTATTTTTAAATTTTTTTGCGAATCACCATGACTCATGAGCATCCAGCCACAGGGAGGGATGCCAAGCTCTGGCACCTGCTCCCAGTCCCTTTGAGAATATCGTTGCTGCTCGTAATAAAATCAGCTGAAAAGAAAAATCGCCTCTCCTTGGACACAGTGATTCACAGTCCCCGAAAATAACCACTTAGACTTCTGAAAAGCGACTTGTGAAAGAGAACATTAAACCTTACACCTGCAAAGTGTGTCATGTGGAATCGCTCGCCAAAGGATGAGGTATTACCTCGGCTGCAGTTGCGTGGATTTCCGAGGGAGGGAGTTGTTATTCGCAGGCCTGTACACTATCTACGTGGCTCTGGGGATGAGTTCAGCATCGTGTCCCGGGCCGGCTGCCTGCTTAAAGCTTCAGACTTGGGTCGGTCTCGGGTGGGATTACTCTCAAGTATAACTAATGCATAATGTTCTTCTGTCACTCTTTTACTCTCTCCGACTGTGGCTTGCATTAAATATGTGTCAGTGTGTCGCAAGTGGGAATGCTCGCTTGGAAGATACAAAAAATAGGAGGTATGTTGCACTAGCCTGGTGAGCTAGCGACATGAATGGATGAAATAAAGCAAAAGTAGAGCATCCTAAAATCCCCAAAGATTCAGAGAAGGCATTACATTTTTGTCCCTGCCTTCACCCTGAGTCAGCTGGGATAGGCTCCAGCTCCCCCACGACCCTAGTGAGGATTAAGCGGTGTATAGATAATGGATGGATGGATGCATGGATGGATAGATTGTTACTGGACATTTCAGTTCAGTTGGGAAAATGTGTTTTAGGTTTACCAGCCACATTCACAGAGCATCCATTAGTTGGGTTTGAGTCAGTAAGATGTGAAGTCTGGGGGCCCAGGTTTCGGCCTGTACAGAAGTCTTGATGGTCCATCTTTTGGCTGTTTGCTCCACCATTAAATGGATATTCACTGTCTTCAGACCATGGATCCAAATGAACTTAGTAACCTCCTCAATTCTCTTTGAGCTCCAGGTTTCTCTTATCCTTTGAAATATCTCGACTAACTTTAAATACTGGCACAAAAATGTGTACAAATGCCTGTACTTCCGAAAGGATGCGTCCTAATGACTTTGGCGACACCCTGGCTTTGCCTCCAGCACCACCAAGAGGCTGACACTTGTGGTTTAGTGGTGTTGAGACAGTTCTGTGTTCATGACTTCTTCAGTGACATCCTGTTTCATCTGCTTTCCTCATGTCAAAATCCTAATCAGTCCAGTATTTTTGGATTCTGACCAAATGCACGCACAACTAATTATGTCCACCAGCCTTAGCAGTAATTAGTATTGCTTCCCTTCCTTCTTCCTGGTCTCCTTCTTGCCACTCCTTCTGCACCTGTATCTATTCCCCCCTATTACTCCTGCAGTACCATAGACTGTACATAAAACATGGACATAGCGTTGAAAAAGGTAAAGCTAATGCCTACAGGCTGCATTCTTTCTAACGACCAGCAGGGGCAGCACCTCAGGTTGGAATAAGAAGTCAGATTGTATCATGAGAAAATGGACCTGCTTCTTAATTGATTTATTACCACAGTAAACATTTTCCTTATAAGTTTATGGTCTCAATTCCTACTTTTATGTCTCCTTAAATACAGCATGATGTGCATTTTATAAATTATGCTCTAATTTAGAGGAAAAAAATATGATAAAGCAAAGCAGGGGGCATAACTGCAAGTTGGTACGATATGTGGTTACGTAGGGCCCTTGAGTTCTTAATTAAATCCTGGAAACAACAAGTCACAAGATCCATTTTTTTCAACTATATGTCACAGGGGCTTTATCATCTTTTTTTTTTACAGTCTATGTGAAGTATACACCAGCTCTGCTTCTTCTAAAAGAGATCTACAAGACTACAGGGATCCATCCAGAACAGATTGAAAACAAACCTGTCTGAAACTTTCCCATCTGGTTTACTTCATGTCTTCAGTGTTGATTATTCTTTTAGTAGGTTTAGTTCTCACGTCATTGCTACCCAGCAACTACCACTTGTATTTTAGGATGCTTCCTGTTTTTGAGCCTGTCCGTCTTTGGACTCTGTAGAACTAAGCCGGCAGACAAACATGGGTAGCGTTCAAAGACAACCTTTTGCAACCTCAAGCAAAACCTACAATTTTTATTTGCCTTTTTCTCCTGTTGTGCTTTCTGGTTCTCAGTTAAGTTCTAATTTGCAAGCATGCTAACATGCTTAGCTAACATGCATATTGACTTTAGCATTTAAAGCCATTAGCATCGCCGCACACTTGTCTTGTATTTCACATCAACCAGTCAGACATGCAAACACAACGTATATGACTAAGATTTTTTTCATGCCTTCAAGCTTTAATTGTTATATTTCTCAAATGACAAACATTCTGTCTGTAATACGGTGAATGATCACCCAAGGGATGATTTACAAAGTACTTCAATTTGTTTACGCACTGTCCATTACATTCCATTTTTTTTATTTCATTTTTGCCATTTGGCGCGTTTCTTTTTACCGCACGCTGGAAACAACGGATGAACACTTCATCATATCTGTCCTGAGAGGCGTCACATAAAAGAGGTTTTTTAAAGCCTTTCACATTTCGCCATTGTGCCGCTCGGATGAGAGGCGATCTGTGCAGGCACCAGCTGTCATTGTTTTAATTTGCAACCAGCTTAGGGTTATGAAGGTATTGATGTGAGGATGATGAAGATTCTCAGTGACTCAGGGGCTGCCGATGACCTGCTTGATCCAGTCTGTGAGCCTGGTGATGCGAGTGTAGACGCCGTAGTAGTCTGGGCGCCCGCAGCCTTTGCCCCAGCTCACCACCCCGGCCAGGAACCAGCGACCCGACGGCTCCTGACAAACCAACGGACCACCTGAGTCTCCCTGACAGAGGCAGGAAATGTTAAAGGGGGAAGGATTATAATGTCTTTACAGCACAAAACGACCACAATAATGGAAAGTGTTTGTCATCATTAAAATTGATTCAGCTATGACATCACTGGGTGTCTAACTTCTAAACCTTGTTTTATGGCCTGACTGTCACCCAGAGGACGTTCAAGAGACATTCACAAGATTTAGATTTTTCCATTGAATAGAAACAAATAGAGAACAAGAAACTACCTATATTGCATCATGACTGAAAGATTATACCCAACTCATACTGAAATTTAAGCATCACTCTTCAGGCACAACAATGAAACATGCAGTTTAAATGCTGAACGTGTGTTGAAACCGTGCTTTTTAGTTTTCTGTCTGTAACGTCACCATTGGGAGCCATGTGTCTGTCCACCCACCAAAGTCCAAAATTCACTCTCCTTTAATTTCTTTCTTGCTTTCCACTAACTCCTGAGCAAAGTCTCAGCCCCTTCGACTGCTAATTGCTCCACTGTGTTCCCCAGCTACTCTCTAACTGCAGTTTTGTGCTGAGCCAGGATGTTTCAGTGGGTTTTAGAGCTTTCTTTGTCGACTGTAAAGCCTAGACACCAAGTTCAAGGATGCAAAAAAAAAAAAAGAAAAGAAAGAAAAAATCCCTTAGAGCTGAGGGGAGCTGCAGAGTTACTGTAGCTCCTAATTCTCTGTGTTGGGTTCGTCTACCAGAGCGTTATTTCACATTTAACAATTTGATCCATTATTTTTAAATGGAAATATTAACTGCATCCAAACTGGGTTGTGAAATGAAGTGAACATCTTCTGTACCTGACAGGCATCTTTTTCTCCACTGCGATAACCAGCACAAAGCATTCTGGGAGTGACCAGGTGGCCATAGGAACGAACACAGGCCTCCTCGCTGACCAGACGAACATCCACCTTCTGGAGCAAATTACTGGCAGCGCCTGGAAGTCAGAGGACATCGTAGAAGAGGCTAAGAGAATGTCTTCTGGAAACAATTTGCTGTTTATACAATACAGAAAATGCACAAGCTAGATTTTCAAGATAAAGCCAAAAGTCGTCATTCGCCTCACACTCATTCTAAAAAGTCTTATAATATCTGCATCCTTACAGTGTCAAGAAACCATCTCACTCTAAGTACAGCGCTCCACCTTCACATTTTCTCCTTAATGTTACTTCCTGAAACTTTGCACGCCAGAAACCTGCCATCCAACACCTCCTCTCTCTCTCTCTCTCTCTCTCAGCCGTTATCCCCCTTTTTAATTCCATCAAGACACCCGACACCACTTCCACCCACACTGCTCTATCTCCTCCTGCCTCTTTCATTTAAATGACTTCATTTCATGTGTGTTTGCTCAGTTATCATAACAGCACACCCACTTGCTTCCACGTTACCAACACACCATCACTCCCCACACTTTGTAGGCCATTTTAAAGAGCCGTCATGAGGACTACACGATCATATTCAGTAGCACTGTACATAAGCTAGTGAGGGGAAAGGGAGTAAAAAAGGCTTTATAACAACAACAACAAAAAAATGCTTAGTTGAAATTCCTTTTTGAAATAAGTCAAAAGCAGCAACTTTATTTTAAAGTTGTTACCGTTCATGAAAGTGCAGTTTGATTGTATTTAAAAGGAGTGATGATGTACAAACCAAAGCCTGTGGATGAATCTGAGAGGCTGCATGAGGTTCAATCAGATGAAAAGAGAAAGTACATAGCTGTGCAAATACAATTTTATTTGCCTCTTTTAAATTGTTGTTGAATTCTTTGCTCCTCTGGCCTCTATGTGATAAAAAGGTTTTACTTACCTTTGAAATAAATAAGGATTACAAGTTTTAAGATTTAAGACATAGTATATAAATTATATATCCATCCATCCATTATCTATACATCGCTTAATCCTCACTAGGGTCATGGGGGGCTGGAGTCTATACCAGCTGACTCAGGGTGAAGGCAGGTTCACCTGGACAGGTAACCAGTCTATCACAGGGCTACACTTAGAGACAGACAACCAAGCGCGGATGGATGTATGCCAACATTCCTTGACTATTAATGAAGGATGTGAACCAAAACTGGGTTGTAATTTATAAGGTGACGCTGAGTCGCTTCAAATAGTCACGAGTGATGCATCTGGATGAACACTGTCATGTTGAAATCTATGCAGAAGAAGAAGCCTGAGATCTTCTACAAGCTTCTTTTGTGCTCCTTCTACCAGACTGTGATGGCCAGTGCACTTTTCTTTGGTGTGGTGTGCTGAGGCACTGCAGAGAGAAACAGACTCAATAAACTGATTAAGAAGCTCCATCATTGGGCTTGAACTGGACACAGTTCAGCAGGTGAGAATGCTCAGGAAGCCGGACTCTAAAGTGAGCAGTGAAGCCCACCCACTTCATGTCATGGAGGTGTTTCTGCGGAGCACTTTCAGTCACAGCCTGATTCCTCTAAAATGCAGGACTGAACGCAGCAGGAGGTCCTTCCTGCTTCCAGCTGCCATCACGCTCTGCAATGTGCAATAAAACTGTATGGCTGCATGACTAAATGACACTTTATGTAGGTACGTTTTTAAAATCCATCTTTTGCATAGTCTAATTTTGCACACTTGGTACCTATTTATTTATCTTATTTAGATTTTTATTGTATATTTTGTTTTATATTTTATGTGTGCCTTCAATGTCGGGTGTCCTGTGGGGTTGTCTGTGTTTTTTCTTTTAATGTAGCTGCTGTTCAATAATCAATAAAGTAAATATCCTATCCTATCCTATCCTATCCTATCCTATCCTATCCTATCTTATCCTAGGTTTTCTAAAGAACCATACAACAACAGGCTGAAGAACATTGTCAGTTTAACAGGCACTCATATTGCCAGTGATGACAAGCAGAGGAGTTCTGTGGTTTCCAGACTACAACACCTGGCCTGATGTATACAACATTCCACATGACATTCACCACGTCGTTGCCGCATATGTTCAGGTCCATCAGGTCTTGACTGATCGAACCGTTGAGAGCATGTCATTGTTCCATTGCCAAAGAGTCCACCTGGAACACTGTCTTGCCTGCAGATGGCTGTTCTGACAAGGCAGCTCCTCTACATTGGTCTTCACGAGTAAAGGTCCTGACCCCTGAGGCGCCTCCTCACAGTGTTGACACTTCTGTGTCTTCCAGGAGTTTCCTGAGCCTTTTGAGATGCCGTACAAAACCGACATCTGAGATGGGAGAGCACAATATACCAATATACCTGATGTAGAGTCGGCCTGACAATAGTGGAGCTGTGACAGCCCAAACGAAGCACGACTTCTGGTGCAGACAGTTCACCCTCTAGCAGAGGCACTGCGCTTGATCATCATGGCATCGCACAGCCTTCAAATAAAACGGTCCTGCATTTTAGCTGAATATAGACAGATGCTTGCTCCTTTCTAAAAAGAACAAAAAAGGCCTACCTGCACAAGTGAGTGAAGAGCAAAAAAACAACCCAACATGCCAATCTTTCAGCGGACAAGATGCAAACTGCAAAGAAAGTGTTTTCATCGGCGCCGACTTAACCCGAAACACTGCTTCCACAAGGATTTCATGCTCCACATTCTCTCTACATCCCCCAAGCCTCCCGTCTGTCCCAGCTCACCTCCTTCGCGGAGCGCCCCCCAGCCGGTGACCCAGCAGAGCAGGCCTGGCTCCAGCTGGTGGGTGGGCGGGGGCAGGCAGGCAGGTCGAGCATGTCCAGCCAGCAGCACAGAGGCAGGCCGATCCAGCTTCAGCAGGGCCAGGTCGTAGTCGTGGGACTCGTAGTCGTAGTAGTGGTGAAGATGGATGCGTTGAACTCGCGCCACCTCCTCTGTGGGACTGCTGCGGTTGAGCAGGAGTTTACCCAAGTAGACGGTCCACAGTGAGGGGGAGTAGAGGCTGCAGCAGGAGCACAAGCAAGAGGTCGAATGTGTTAAAGCGGCAGCAAGCGTGCTGTCTTTCTTGCACTAGAATAATTTAAAATAACATGAAACCCACACAGTTTTTGAGTGATGGCAGCAAATATTCGAGCAACTGTTTCTGTGTTTCTTTAACTTCCTCATCCACTGAGATGACAAGACTTGCTTTAGGCTGCAAATACTTTTAATCACCATGCAAGGAAATTAAGTAGAGAAGAATAGTTAATCCTCTACAGGCTGTTGCAGTTATAGTTCTGGCCACAGTCCAGCCAGCTGAGTTGGGTTTGAAACACACAAGCAGATATAAATACACAAATACACTGGCTCTGAGTCAGACAGGCTGTCACAGCTAAACCCTGGACAGCAAACACACACCAGCAGAACTGAGAATAGACAAAGTTTGGATGAAACACAAAGATGAACATGATTTATAAAAACTATTAAAACACACACACAAAAAAAAGCATCATCAAAGTCAAAGTTATCTTGACACCACACAGCGCTTCAGGATGTTTTCCTTTTGACGGGAGTTTTCTAAAGCCTCATCACATGGCTTACCGGTCGTCATAGAAACAGTGGGCGGCAGACACGACCCACTGACTGGAGATCAGCGCACCGCCACAGATGTGGATGCCCCGCACCTGCAGGCTGGCCTGCCACGGCCACTCCCCCTCAGAGGCGTTGGTGCCGCCGACGATGCGGCTGGAAAACTGCCTCAGGCCGCAGTCTGAACACACACACACACACACACACACACACACAAACAGGTGGGAGCATGTGCTAAATATATAAACTGTAAAAACCTTGAGAGTTACTGAAAAAAATCAATGATATCCAGTTTGTCTAATGCTTCGAATGTCAACAAGAAAAAAAACAAGATAAATTAAACAGACTTTGTTGTCTCATCCATCCATCATACACCGCTTAATCCTCACTAGGGTCGTGGGGGGGCTGGAGTCTATCCCAGCCGACTTAGGGTGAAGGCAGGTTCACCTGGACAGGTCACCAGTCTATCACAGGGCTACACTTAGAGACAGACAACCAAGCACACTCACATTCACACCTACGGACAATTTAGAATCACCAATTAACCTCAACATGTTTCTGGACTGTGGGAGGAAGCCGGAGAACCCGGAGAGAACCCACGCTGCACGGGGAGAACATGGAGACTCCACGCAGAAAGATTCAGGTGGACACGAACTGGCAACCTTCTTGCTGCGAGGCAACAGTGCTACCAACTGCTCCACCTTGCAGCCCGTCTTTGTTGTCTTATTTTATTTAATTCCTATTAGGCACCAGGTTAATATTAGCCTTCAGAAAAGCTTGAAACTGGTCCGGAGAAAGTACCACGTTAAAAAAAACAATCGTACAATAAACCGAGTGTATATCTTCTCACCACACTGTTTCTCATCTGAAGCATCAGGACAGTCAGTAACAGAGTCACACTCAGGGTTCGGCTTCTTCAGACACGTCCCATCGGCACACACATAGGTCAGATCTGTACACTGCACACCTGGACACACACACATACAGGAAATTCTTTGTGCTTATACGGTCCATTGTGCAAATTAGGACTGGCTGTATTTCTTTATTAATGTTGCACATCTAAGTGCACAAAGAAAGCTTTATTTCAGAATGCTTTATAAATAGTGCAAAGATTGGAATTAACTGCCTGTTTCTAAGGGGAGTGGCATGTGTGAATACATGCGAGTCCACTTGTGAAGGTGTTACCATCAGTGCAGTTCATCTCGTCTGTGGCTTCAGGGCAGTCCGGGTGTTGGTCGCACACTTTGTAGTAGTCCACACACTGGCTGTCCTCCGGGCACTTGTACTGTGCTGCACACACTGAAACACACAAGAAAGTAGTCGCATTCATTTGTGTTCAGAAATTCAGCAACATTCAGTGACAGGAATTAAAGCTGCACCACGCAGACATCTGGAACAAAAAAAGAAGATCTGCCGCCCTTCTGCTGCAGCCCGTCCCTGTCTGTTCCAAAGCCCCTCAGATTAATACAAGCATCGAATGCACAGAAGTAGTCGAGTCTGTTTTATTTAGTGGTTCAGCCAGAATTCAAACTCCAGCCTCTCAAGTGTGCGTCCACTATCTAACCCATGGCAACACCACATCCTCCTCTCATTGTGGACTTGGTGTTGTTGCTATTTATACGCTCTGATCGGCGAAAAGCCCTGTGATTGGCTAAAATCCCCCATCAAGGGCTAGATTTTCTAAAGCACTAAAAAAAGAGATGCAACTTGAATGACAACATGCTAAAAGAAGTTCAGAGTGGAATTTTTTGCCTGATATAAAATACTGCCTTCCCCAGACTTTGATGGGATGTTGTGCACAAACAGAAAGACATTGAAAGAACACTATGTGATGTGGAGCAGGACAGAGGTAGCCTTCTGTGCTTCTTATTAACAGCTCATGTTTGATTGTCCTCGCAAGGAGTGTTTTAGAGACAGTAAAATGGATTTTCACCGTTTTATTATCATCAGTCTTCGCTTTTTATCAAACAAAAATTATATTTAGCAAAGCATTCAAACAAAGTCGACATATTCCTGCAGTCGTCTGTGTTTACATTGCATGAAAAATTATTTTACCATCCATAAAACAGCATTTTAATTAATGTGTACCTAACCTAAGTCAAATGAATAACAACACTGTGGCTTGACAAGCTGCCAAATCTCAAAGGTTTTAAATCGGGATGTACTGTCTGCCATCCAAGACTTAGAAAGAACAGGCCCGTCAGATCAGATCAGCATCACCCTCAGATTGTGAGCCAGCCAGATTTCATTAGCAGAACACCGACAAGGTTCACATTACAGTGGTTCTACTTGAGCATTTCTACCCTCAGCCGTGTCAGTCATGGAGGACCGGCTGCGTCATTCGTCCAGAAGTGCCACAAGTGGCTGCACAAGTGGTGTGTGGTGGCTGAGAGACTGTAAATTTAACTCTGTGTCAGTATTAGAGCATTTATTCTATTTGGAACATGAAGAGATGTCCTGTTTGAGCCCTAAAATAACTGACGATTATGTGTTCTGTCATGACTTGGAAACAGAAAACACACACCGCAGTTCCTCTCGTCAAGTCCATTGGGACAGTCCTTGATTCCATCACAGACGGGAACGCAGAGGCCGTTCACGGTGCACAAGAACCGGCCGGGGCAAGCTGTAGAAAACACACGAACAAACACACGAATCATTCAAGATTATGTTTATACGCAAGGTCAGAATATAACTGTCCAATTTATATATCCAAAATGTCTAGATTGTCTCTCCACAACTCACGATCTGACAGGTTGAAGACGCTGTAGTGCAGCTGGAGGCCCGGCCCCGTGAGCGACACCTCGGACGTCATGACGACTGTGGCCGTCGTAGAGAGCAGGAAGAGGCGTTCGTTGTAGGGCTGCAGACTTCTGGTGCCACACAGTCTGAGGAGAGAAGAGGGACGGGGGAAACTCATGGGAAACTGCAGTCATGAGACGATACAGCTGTGGTGGAAGCAAACGGAAAAGTGGAAATAGGATTGCTTCAAAATCCTCAAGCTCATACAAACACCTGAATGTCTTCACTGAAACTGGCCTCACATGTAAAGATTGTATGGTCCTCTACCTGAAGGCTCCGTGGGACAATGCTGCCCCCTGTTGGTCACTTGAGCACATCATTATCTAAACATTTTTGCTGTGCTATCTGGTCCATTTCTGCTTTTGATTTATCATTAAATAAACTGAAAGTACACACATCAGGGACCGCAGGGAAAACCTGCACTGCTGCTGCTGCCCCATACACTGAAATTATACACAGGTGGCTCTTTTAAATAAATTGTTCACAATAAGATGCACTTTTTTTTTTCTCTCTCTGATCTGCTCTTTAGTGCAGCAGGAATATTATTTCAGTTAATATATGCGATGTCTATTTATTGCTGCCACCTGCATGCGGTGTGGTGTCTGAAAGAAAAAGTAGGACTCAGCCTAAAACATCTATATTTATGTTGTATATTAGGGACTCAGCACCTGTGCAATACAAAAAAAACCCAACTGTATTAACATGTCTTTACACAAGGCTGTGAAAGAAAAACTATCTCACCAATTTGAAAAAAAAAAAAAGTGTATTGCACCAGATCACATCACTAAGAATTGTTTATTCATGTTGGTTGGCACTTCTACCATTTTATGAAAAGTAGGATAGGTTGTGTAATAACTCGAGAAGGAGTCAACAATCTCTGCCGATGTAAATCATATTTGCAAGCGAACCTCTCACTGCTTGTTGCTGTCAGGGAGACCTGAAGCGCTGCCGAATACAAAAATCAGAATGAGCCAAAGACTACATGTGGTGCAGTCTACCTGCGGTTCTGGATAATCCACTGTCCCTGGGTACAGGCCTGGTTGTAGCTGGCTCTGCTCAGCTCATAGCCCTCAAACTCCAGGGACAAGCCCATCCCTGCACTGGGCATCTGAGATCACGCACAGAGAATGGCACATAAGAAAAAAAACAAAAAACAAATCAAGAGATACACACATGACTTTCATAAAATATGTGATAGGAGCTGCTGTTCAGGGTTCAGAGCTTCTAATGTATATTTATTGACTGAACAAATGATTCAATCAATATGTCAGTCAGTAGAAGACGTATGGATGCAGGGGTGACTTACAGTAAAGTTCCAGGAACAGTTGGTGTTTGGAGGGTAGTAGCTGGGAAAGAAAGGTGTCCTTAGTGTTCCCTGAACCCCCGACACTGCCTTCAGCTGTATGCTGGAGTTACAGTCTGAGAAAGATAAAGACAGAGAGCAGGACAGATTCATCCATCCAT